AGATTGGTATTCCAGTGAATCCGAGTTCATAAAGAGCTCTCTGGCCGCAGCACGTGCCTCCGAACAGATAGCCGACGGTAGCTTGTTGGATATCGGTGTACTTCAGTGAGCAATCATCCAATGCCATATTCACTAAATATGGATATGAAAAGAATCACAGGTGCTTCAAGCCGAAAACACGCTCTAAAATTCGGGGAAACACTCACCGGCTTCCTTTCACCATATCAGGATAATCCCAATCCTTGTGATCCTGGCTTACAGAACTTTGTCATTCCGACACCAATCACGTATACTTTCGCTTTACCCATGATGATCTGACCTAAGGCAGTCGCACAAGGATCAGTTTAATAGCCAGACCTGTTTCGGTGCAATATTTCGTGTGAATACGGCAATTCCAATTTCACAGAGGAAAGCTGAAGCTATGAAGTGCTAGTTTCAAAGAGTTGGGCACTATTTAGTGCAGAAAGGTGCGAGCAAACGATTAGTACTAGTAGCTGAGGATTCCTGCCTAACCAAGAAAAGGTTTCAACCTCTTCTGGAACTTTGAAGCGAGATCCAGTTACACTTGTGGGGTTTTCAGTGATCAGCACATACGCGAGTGCTAACTTATATCGGAGGGCCACGCGGCAGTCTCCAGTACCGCCCTCCCCCAAGAGCTTTCGCACAGGGTCAACTATGTAGTCCAAATTATCGGCTGTTAATCCCATTCTGATTAGCTATTCGCCCCATAAAAATAAGAATATGGTGGCCACATCCTCACCCTCAACTCTGAATGATACGGGTCGTTCCAAGAGCCAAATTCAATAAATCCTGAGCTACAGCTTGACAGAACAAGCTCGCAGTACCTTACTCTTCTCTATAAAGCGCAGACGCAGTCGCGCCCGCAATGTGACCCCTGCGAGCTTCGTTTGCTGCTCCATATAGAACCCGGAGTTTTGAGATTGTTGGTTTTGTTGTCGACACAAGTATTTTGGTAATAAAAATAGTTAGAAGATCTGAAACCCAATATTGCTAGCTGAATCTCACAGGCAAGCTCAAAACAGTCAAAGTTGGCAGATTCGTTAAGAGTTTGTAACCTGAGCATGTGCATCGCGAGTTTCTTGGATGAGAGAATGTTCAAGACTAAGAAAGTTCCGGGTCTTGTCCGAGCATTGCACCACTGACAGAAATTCCAGGCAAAAGTATGGCTCACCTCCGTGGATTCTGTTCCTTGCTCATGTGGGGAGCATGGCTCCGCTACTGCAGTAGCATGCCATTTTCTCTGTCAGAAGTGCATAGGAACGGGGCTGAAGGGTAGCAGTGATACCACCACCGTGATGCCATTCCGGATTCCGGCCGAGTGCGTGCACCCTAAGGTGAAGCCCTTCCTTCGATACCAGAATTCCCAAGCGAACACGCATCAGAGATAGAGATTACGTACATACGAGAGAGCGCGGAGAAGTAGCGCGCTCGGCTATGGTTAGGCATGTCGTTGAGCGTGCGGCAAGGCGGAGCTCAGAAACGGCACCCGTACATCAGCACCGTCCTGCCCCGCACCCGTGCACTTTTAAAAGGTGAAAAATTGTAATTTGAATGGCACGCTACTGCAGCTGCGATCCAATTTAGCTCGCACGTGGAAACGACCGTCATCGGAGAAGAGTGTGTCTTCAACCGCTCACAACTAGTAACCCGAGACATGCAGGTAGCAATTTTATTTTCCATATTAGTTCAAGGCATTTCGAACCTTATCAGTACGCCTAGGTCATCCAACATCATGAGGATTTGGACTACGCTCCTGGTCAGCCTGGGGGAGAGAGGTCGTGAGAGGTCTGGAGGGTGAACCACGTCATCTAGTGTTGTGGTACCTGTTTCCTTAGCTTTTTTGGGCTCAAACGATCTCGGAGGAAGGGTTATGAAAAGCACACGTTGTGCAGTCAGAAGAACAAGTTTGTGAAGAAAAACACTGTAAGGCCTTCAAGCAGAACTAGAGTTACTGTAATGTTGAAGAGGAGCAAGTATATTTCCAGGGGAGGTGAACCACGTTAATTCTACTAGGATGCTAATTCTGCCCAAGAAGTCCTTCAGATGCCCGCCCAAGGTCACCAGAGCTACTTTTGTAGAAGACAACGTTCTTCGTGCTTTCAAATGTTAATGTCCTGCCTCATTGAAATAGCGCCACAATGCGTACGAAAAACAAGAAAACGATCGTTAAAAAACAAAGCGAGAGCACAAGTAAGGAAGAGTAGTCAAGGAGGTCCCAACAGTTATATAGCCGTCACGAGAATGATGAGCGTGAACGAGCTGGACCTAGCCAGGGTGAACCTTGACCGTGTGATAAGACTACGATTCTACACTACGTTCTAGTCTCCACTGATGATTGATTGCTTTGTGTCATACTGTTTTTTTAAACTACAACTTGGTGCACATGACTAGACATAGAATTGAAAAAGACTAGAAGCACTACGCCATAATT